TTAATTATGTGGAGGAAGACATGCACATATGAGTATATGATTTTCATTGGGAATGACCCTATGTCAGGTACTTAGTTAAGTTCTCCATCAGAATATTTTAGAATAAAAAATAGAAAACTTAGCACAGGTATTTTTCTTCATTCACTCATCAGTAATTCAGATGTATTCTCAGATATATCAGTCACCTTTCCATTCATTGGTGTCTTCTGATGTTAGTAAATTCTTCTATATATGAGAGCTAGGTCCACTTGCATGCTCCCTGTAGTGCTTGCACAGCTGACATCATTTCCTGTGGGCTGTACTCCTTCCCTGAGTTCAGCCTTCTGTCTCCCTCTTGCACTGGCTTTCCTTAGGACCGTCTGGCCTTCAGAGTCCTATTCCAGGTCTTTGTCGTCTCTACAAGAAATTGAGTTTCTCAGTATCTGACTTATTATACCCTCTTCTGGCACTGATGTATATACCCTTCCGAGCCCATTTAAAATTCACCCCATATGACAGTTATCTTATGTCCTAGGGCTAGTACAAAGACATGTGGGCCCCTTCATAGCAAAGATAATCTTCTACAATTCTGGGTTACCTCTGAAGACTGATTACCTTCCTCTGCTTTTAGAAGCTGTAATGTCAGAATAGTCTTCCTTTACCCCCCAATACTGCCAACCCAGAGTCTTTCCATCTAATCTTGTTGACAGCTGGAGAATCTGGTTTTCTGCCACTCTTTCTCGACTGTTTTTGCTATAATAGCTCCTCATTGATCCTTTACATCTTTTTGACCCACTCCTGTGTCTTTTCTCCCCCATTAGATTATATGCTTTATAAAAGAGGGGTGATACTGGTACATGCTGCATATGTACGTTAAAAAATGTAGTCATCTAATTAGAGTTGTGCACATGACAGGTATAGAGCTAAAATGAACCATGAGATGTAGGCAGCGCCTGTCGCCACATAGATCTATGTCAAAGAGGTAGGTTAGTGACTGCAATCCTAGTTTTATAGAAAGGAAACTGTTAGACCCTCGTTGGGAAAATTATTGTATCCTTTGTTATTCCCTTTGTTAAGAACACACTCATTACAGGCCTGAAATGTAATTGAAAACAGAGAACTTCTTTAAAAGCTAGTTTTCAGTACAGTTAAGGGAAGAAGTGGAAAGTTTTTTTTTAATTCTCTCTCGTTAGGACTATGCATTATTTTCATATATACATAAACTTGGGAACAACAAAGACTTATATAACTTCCACAGCATGGAGGCCATGGTAGACTTTAATTAATTCCTAGGTAAAATTAGTATGCATTGCAGTTTAGAGAAACAAAATACACCAGCCCGCTAATCAAAATGTTCAGCTAACAGAGCTGCAGCTTTTCATTAGTTATATTGTCTTGAATTTCATCATGCTAACAGCTGGCTTCTTGTCAATTTATAGCTTGGACCTTTACATCAAACAGAAAAAAAATTAATTACAGGGAAAGGAATCCCAATAGGAATTTTGCGCTTAGAGGTTTTTCACAATTAACTAGACATGAATGGGATGTGTACAGAAGAAATGGAAAGGAAGAGAAAGAAGTGCGTGGAATTTACTAGAATCATTAACTGCAGAAGCATTTGTCACCTCCGTCCTGATTTTGCTCTAAAGTTGTTGAGACAAATATGTGAGCATTGTTTGTGAACACGTTCAAGCCTGCTGCTCTGTTCAACTCTGTGAATCATGGAGTGAACTGTACTTTTCCTTACAAGTCGTCCCAAGTGAGGGCTCACGAATTATTCTATTCTCATCATTTTGAATTTGATAACATCCTATATGTTACACTACTGATCATAATCATAACTTAATGACCCGAAAGATGCTTTGTTCGTGAGTGCCTGCTTACTCGGGATGCATATCTGTACTCAGAAATACTGTCCTCAAGTGTCGTAGTCTTTGCCAAGGGGTCACCCAGGAATTTCAAATGAGCTTTCCTTAGCCTCTTATCTGTTGAATAAATAAGCTAGCAGTTTTTCAAAATGCCTCTCTTCATAATTTCCTTTTTATGTTGCTTAGAAATTCTTCCTTGTGATCCATTTACCTAATTCCTAAGATTCAAATAGACTGTTTCTTCCTCAAATACATCGAAGGCTTAGATGCCTAGAAAGAATGAAGAAAACATTTCCACTTAAGAAATGTGTGAAAGAATACACACAGGATGTGTTCCATAGGATACCGGGTGTCATTCAGAACCAGATTAACCCAGGTTCTGAGTACCTGTCAAGCTAATCAAAGAGCATTTGTAGACATGCATACATAGTATTTATATGTGATTTAGAATAGCATTTTCCATTTGGTTAATTTCAAATATTTATTCAGACTGTGTTGTTCCCCATCCATAGACTACTCTACTAAAATAAACCCACCATCTTCTTGGCCATCTCAAGAATACATTTAGGTTTCTGATCATTTTTAATACACAGCAGCCCTTAGTTATCAGCTCATTTGGGTGGTCATATTTCACTGTACTGTCACGAGCAGTGCCATGTTTCCTACATAATTTGTAGACCACAACTGAGGAGACTATTTTTTTACTTTTTGTAATGATAGTATTTTTCTTCATTAGGTGTGCGAGCTGGGAGCTACTAACAGGCACTTTGCAGGTTTTGCGGTTCAGCGTGAGAATGGTTTGCGGCTATTCCAAGGTCACTGTCAGAGTCCTCATGTGATTTACTTCCATTTATTTTGCACTTGTGTTTATGGCTTTGAACCAAAAGATGAAATTTGATGTTGGGTTCGTCCACATTAAACTTCATTTGCTGCAGGTCAGCTCCTTCACTACTGTGAGGACATGAAAACCCACTCTGTATATGTATACATATTGTCTCTAGCCACTGATAGTTTTTTCTACTTTTGTTGTTGTGTAGCTTTCTGGTCCTTTCAATTCGAAAAGAAGACTCTAGGGGAGGCTATTCATAAGCCTATGTGAATCTAATAGAGATCAATATGTGATTACCTAATAGAGTTTTATCATGTCATGGCATTGTGTTTTCCTATTCCAAGTTGTATTTCATGGTCTGTATTAAGTACGTATGCTTGTTAGTTTTATTTTAAATAAGTGAATTTATCTTTGGTAACATATATTAAATAAAAGTTACAATGGACACAAAAAAATCTTAATTTCGGTTATGACACTAAATATTTGCCCAGGTTTTCAGTTTAAATAACCCAGTGAATCCAATTTGGGCCTCACATGTACTCCTGGATATGGGGCTATTCATTAGAGCTTTGGGACACACCCTTAAGGAAAGACAGGCTCTTCCTCCCAAGGAGCCATTGCGTTTCCATAGCTCCAATAGAGGGTGAAGGTTCCTGAGCGCCTTTCTCCATGCTACTTTAATAGTTTGATCTTAGATAGGATTTAAATTTGAGTGCAGTAGTCCAGTCATGTCTAAAATATAGTGATTCTCTACAGTTCTTCCTGCCCTGTGACTGTTTCGATTTCTCTGTTCCCTCTTCTGAGATGGCCCTTGAACCTTGGTGGAGGTGTGGTATACATGTCCGTTTATGCCTGAGCACTCCACTGCCACTCACGCTTTCTGAAGCAGGGCTGTCAATTTAACATAAAGGGATTCCTGGTCTCAGCGAGCATCTTACAGTCACTGTAGGCTCACAGAGTCAGAAACCCGTCTTTCCTCTGTAGTATGCACACTTCATAAGAAGTATTTTCATTTAGAGCAAAATATTAGAACTTTGTGAACTGCTTGCAGACAGTTAAGTTTTCATGGAATTTTTATTTTTATGATTCTAGACCTGATATGTTAAATGTAAACTGTACAGTCTCTCAGAAAAGTCTACTATGTAAATCACCTCCATGGTAGATCATATGAATTGCATTTGGCTTCTGCTTCTTATCATTCTAGCAAGAAATAGTATCTAAATTAATTCCCATCCAAGTGTCTCAATTATACATATTTACACATGGACCAAATTATAAATACATGTCTAAAGTAACCAGAAAATCTGAGAAAGGAATATAGACAGTTAATTATACTAGTAATGGCTTAGATGTCTATAGCGTAGGAAATGTACAATGTGTGCCTATGGTAGTGTGGTAGGAAAATCTTTATATTTTAATCAGCTGACGTTGGACCATGGGGCTTCAGAGTCTTGTTTTTTGTCTTGTTTCGCTTTGTTTAATTTTGTTGTTGGTGGCCGTGGGGCGGTAGTGGGATGATGTGTATGTATGACACATGTAAGTATATGTCTGTGTGTACCTGGTTCTGCTGGATCACAGATCTCAGAGAAGTCTACACCCATTGGGCTAAGCTCTCCCCCTACAATTGACTATCGAACCGAATCCCCACAACATATATGTACACAAATGATGGCAGGAGAGAATCTTGTAGCTAGAGATCTAACTAAGCACCTGTGGTGCTGACCACACCCACTTGGGTGTGGCCACAGGTGCCTACAGGAGGGGAGGATTTAGGCTAACTCTGGGAGGCAAGTGCTCTCTCTTGCTGCTGGCCAGGTCACTGGAAACAGCCTGGGAGGATCCTTGGAGCTGGAACCTGTGGCCGCCACCCACCTCTTGTATAAGTATTATCTCTCTGAATCTGAATATACCTTTTAACCTGAACTGGGTCTAGCGAATCTTGATTCCCACGCGTGACACACTCTGACTGGGCTGCACTGGCTGGCCAATGTGCTTCAATCATCTGCATATTTCCACCCAGTGATACCAAGGTTATAGCGTATGCAACCATGCCTGTCTTCTTGTGTGGATATTAGAGATTTGAACTTACATACTCATGATTGCACAGGAAACACTCTTACCCTGTGAACCACCTCCCCAGGCCCGGTACTTTCTGTTTGGAAAGTAGACCCCTACATCATGCACAGGATGCAGCTCCAGTGAGTTAGACTCTAAACCGATTTTGAAATAACGTTGAAAATATGTAATCACGGTGTTCTTAGTAAGAAATGCTACCATTTGTACTAGATGTTTACATTTGAGACATTGTGTTTATTTTAATCCAGGTAATGAATTTGGGCATCCTGAGTGGTTAGACTTCCCAAGGAAAGGAAATAATGAGAGTTACCATTACGCCAGAAGGCAGTTTAATTTAACTGACGACGACCTTCTTCGCTATAAGTTCCTAAATAACTTTGACAGAGATATGAATAGATTGGAAGAAAGATGCGGCTGGCTTTCAGCTCCACAGGTAAGCTCTTTGCTCTGAATGTGATGTTGTAGTCACATGCATGGAATGGCAATGGGTGTAAATCTGCATGCAGACCTTCTGAGCAGCACTTCATTATTCAGTGTGGAGTGCCCTGTAATGTACTGTCGGTTGTCAAAACATGTCACAGGAGTCTCTCCAAGAGATAATGAAAATGGTAAGCATACTGCCCTGCTTAGCTTCCTGTTAGTTGGTTGTTGTTGTTTAAGTTTAATAATTTCAATTTCAAATGGTAAAAAATAAATGGCAGACACTCTGCATGAAACCCACTTTGGAAACTGCTGTGGAAACATCTTAATTGTTTTGACTGGTTTTCTTTTGTGTAAATAATTATGCTGTCCAAAAAAAATTACTTTGACAACACCTAGATTTTTCTATTCCTTTTTCCCCTTCTTTGCTGGTCTCTAACTTGTCATTTCAATAGATGCCGTTGTACTTTGCATAAGTCTGAACTTTCCTCTGGAATTAAAGTCTCTGTTGCCAATAAGTCTGAGGAAATGTAATTAACAGGTGCAAATTTTATATAGGCTCTTTTCTTCCTGTTGCAAATATTAGCATATAGTATGTGTTAGTCATAATCCATTTCTTTCTATTGATACTGTTTAAAATTACTGTTGATGTGTTTTTAGTGTCTATGGTTTCCATGTTTAGTGATTGAACAAAGGTATTTGTATATTCAGCAAGACTGGCTACATGATATGCATACCCTAATCATGTTTATTAGAAATGCCATTTCCAGAAGAGAGAACGAAATAATGCTCCTTTTCCTGAGAACCAAAGTTGAAGAGCAAAAGGCACATTGCTTACTCTGGAGCCTGAGTTCTCACTGGTAAATTACAGAGAGATGCTGCTGATAAACATGGCGATAAATCTACACCACCAGAGCTGGGTGAAAGTGAGGCCAAAGACGCTCAGGCTTCCAAAGGCAGCTGTAAGCAGGAGGCAGGGCGTGTGCAAATGTAGCTTATTTTCAGACCTTTTCATATTACTAAGAAGTATCCCCAGCACAGAGCAGTGGACTTTAGCTGTAAGCAGGAGGAAGGGGGTGTGCAAATGTAGCTTATTTTCAGACCTTTTCATATTATTAAGAAGTATCCACAGCACAGTGCAGTAGACTTTAGGTTGACATTGATTCTCTGCAGAGTTAAGTAAAAATGTATGCTTTTTTTTAAACTAACTATAATGTTGAAACTGGATATAAACTTATGGTAACTTTGAAAAATAATTTTATTTATATTACCTCATTAATTTGGTTACTGAAACTAAGTCTTAGGAAAATGCATTTATACTTAGGCCTAATGAACACAAATACTATATGCTTTAAATGCCATGTTTTGTTTTGTTTTTTGTTTGTTTTGACTTCAGAATTACCTACAATACTAATCCTCTGCTTGTGCTCTCAGAGTGGAACATGGACTGTACTGTTCTTATATTCTTTAAATTCTTTTCTTGATAATGTTTGTTGAAATTGCAGCATGCAAAAATATAGAGACGAGAGATTTAATTTTGGAATAATAATTAAGAACACATATTAAGGACGAAACAAGCCTCTAGGAAATGTTTCCTTGCAACAGCTTCTCAGAGCGATGTGAATGTTGTGTGTTCACCCTTACAGGCCTACGTGAGTGAAAAACATGAAGGCAATAAGATCATCACCTTTGAGAGAGCAGGACTCCTCTTTATTTTCAACTTCCACCCAAGCAAGAGCTATGCCGACTACCGAGTTGGGACTGCATTGCCAGGGAAATATCCTTTTCTCTGCATGTAGATATGGCTATTGAAATTCAGTAAGGCATAGTAAAAGCACATTTTATAAATACGAACATGGATCTCGAACTCAGTTTTCTCCTCTAAAACTGAGGGACTCAAGGTAGCTAACATTGCCCTTCTTGTTTGTACTTAATTATTCATGAAATTTGTTTAAGCTCTGAATATTATTGTTATGGAAAATTTTGAAAGCAGTGTTTTGTCCTAATAAGCAATAACTTCACACTTCATTTTCATAGTTGGCTCAGAAAGTAATGTCTTTACCCCTCATCTCTGCCTGTTGAAAAAGAGTATATAACTCAACAGCCCCCCTTTCTGTGTCTTCTGAGCATGGCTCACTTTTATGATCAGAGTTGGCAGAGAAGCAGGCGGGAGGTGGGCTCAAGAGGAAGAGCGAGGAGAATGTTCCGGTTCTCTCTACTTATTTCTTCGCATCTGCTTCAGTCCTTCCTTACATCCCTACCTTTACTGGAGGAGAGATGTATAAAATCAAAGTATCATGTAAGATATGGGAATAAATGGGAGAGAAATCAATGTGTTCTGTGAGAAAACAAGACAAGGAAAGAGAAAGCAGAAAAAGAATGATAATCCTACAACTTGGGAATTAGTGTGGATACAGCAAAGTAGAATGAGCAAAGTAAAATTCCAGTGTTTGGAAACAGAGACCATCCTTAGATAGTGGGCAGTACAAAAGATTAATTAAAGAATGGTGACTATAATAAACGTACTAAGAGATAAAGCTGACAGCACCGATTGAGATCCTGTAATAGAAGATTTTAAATCTTTGTTAATTAGTTTCAGCTTTTTTCCCTAAGATTTTATGATACACTGTTGAAGGTTTTTGAACTAGGAAGTCACTTGGTAAGAATGTATGTACAAGAGCAAGTTTTTATGTCCGAGTCTGTAAAAGATTGTGTGAAAAGAGGATTGCAATTGCAGGTGTTAATCGTGGGATGTAGGATACCTGCAGCATAGCTAGGTTTGAGATAAGGTGATAGAGAGAGACTAACCAAAGGCGTCTGAAGCTCTTTCTGGAGTGAAGGGACTCAGAAACTGTTTTTAAAGTCTCATCTTACCAATTTTTATTTCAAAAATTAAGTAATATACTTTGATCATATTCTTTCCCCTCCTTCAATTCATCCCAGATCCTTCTATCCTCCTTCCATATCCACCTAACTCCGTATCCTCTCTTTCAGAAAAATAAACAAAGAGCAAAATAGATAAACAATAAACATGAAAACTAATAAGACAAAATATCAGCCCAGCAGTAGTATTCTAGGCCAGCATGGTCTACAGAGTGAGTGCCAGGACAGACTCCAAAGCAACACAGAGAAACCCTATCTTGAAAAAACAAAAAACAAAAGACAAAAATATCCAAACAAAACAAAAATCCACAAAAAATAACATGAATTCCATTTTATGTTGGGTAACTATTCCTAAGCCTGAGGCATGCCCTGGAGTGTGGTTGATGCAACCAGTGACACTAAACTAGAGAAAACTGATTTTCCTTTTCCCAGAGGGTAACAATTGTATCTCCTCGGTCAGCTTGGGACTTGGTGTCTACTTCCCCATGTCTCTGCAGAGTGGTGATGGTGGTCTGTTTTGACCTTATACGGGACTTGTGTGTTTCGTCCGTCAGTGTTAGTGAATTTGTTTCTCCATCCTCTTTGACTAGAAGACACTATTTCCTTGGAGTCATTCACCATCTGTGGCACTTAGTACCTTTCTGCGTCCTCTTCTGCATAGCTCCTTGTGCTTTGTGAGGAGAGGGTTATTCAAAACACCCCATTTAGGGCTTGGTCCTCCAAAGTCTCTCAGTCTCAGCACATTGTGCATGGTGCATCTCTCTTAATTTCCATCAAGAAACTTCTCTGATGATGGCTGAGCAATGTTCTCGTTTAATAGTGTAGCAATAACTCATTAGGAGTCTTTATCGCAATGTTACTTTAGTGGAATAATAGTTATAGGTTTTCCCTTAGGGCTATTGCCCATCTAGCCTCAGGTACCAGTTTCATCTCATAGTGTAAGCTTTAAATCCAATCAAAAAGGGGCTGGTGGTTACTCCACAGCATCTGTGCGACAATTGCACCAGTATATTTTGCATGCAGATAGTTATTGTAGGTCACTGGGTTTGTAGCTGGCTGATATTGTTGATTACTCTTCTTCTCCTGTAACGTGCAAAGTACTCTGCAACATCAACACTAATTGATAGTGGTGAAGATTATAGTTGAGCATCAACTATCAACTCCATTTCTCCATGTTCAGTGACATAGTAAGTGTGTCTTCAGCGATAGGCCTTACCTTCAGGTTACAGAGAGTAACCACCAGTTTTGGGGATGGTTTATAGAACCTATGGGACCCCCTTGACTAATGACTCAAAATGATGTAGCATATTCCTCCTGCCACTGAATATTTTACTTGGTGGCATGAGATATCTCCTGGAATATTGAAACATATTTAAGACCAGTTGGTTTAGAGCATTTTGCTATAAATGGGCATTCTTTTCTGTGATGAAGGAACTGGGAATTGCTTCCAGAATACACTTGCCCCACCCCTCATGAGTACCTACCTAAAAGGAATAGCTTACCCTAACTCAGAGACTAAAATCATACTGTCATCTTGGTTTTTCCAAGTTGTGTTCTGCCCACCCAGGCTCTGCCTGCCCTCATTATTAAAGAAGTGACTGCTAATAAAGCCGCTTCTTGTTCTAAAGATTTAATTCACAGGATAAACATGTAAGTTCTTAGTTATTAAAAACATTGTCTTTCCTACACCGCTGACTCACCTCTTTCAGACTAACTGCCTGGGGTTCCGTCCTTCTTCTCTTCCCTCTTTCCCTGTTCCTTGCATTCCTTCCTTCTTTCTTTTGCCCCTTTGTCCTTAAAAATGTAAACTCTACTGCCATCCAAAGTGAAGCTGCCACATCTGGCAATACAGTTTTCCAGATATGGGCTGACAAGGTGAGGTCAGGTGCCACATTCCTGCATTTCCCTGCTCATGCAGTTTGATGAATGGAGGTAGTGCCATTTTCTCTACGTGCAGCAACCACACCACACTTTCTGCCCCGATTATACTTTCATTCAAAGTCCTGAGCTTTTCTTGTTTGCCCTAGTCGAATCTCTTATGCTTTCTCCAACTAATAATTTTAACTCAAAATTCCAACTGGTAACATGAAAAAGTACAGTGGGCATTTGTTTTTTCCTTCTCACCTTTTGAGAGATTTGGTAAAGGAATTCTTCAGTGTGTGTTTCTCCACTGCCCATCTGATAAGATTCTGCCATATTCCTTAGGCAAAAGAGAGATCTCTTCTTGCTAGTTTTTGTTGTTCCAAACTTAACAATCTTTTTCTAATCCATAACATCATACAAGTCTCATTTGGTTTTACCTTTAAACTATTCCAGGATCATTTCAGATATGGAAAAATAAATAAATTAAAATCCTGTTATTTTATTTCTGACTTTACCAAAACATTCTATAATAATTGGTTTTTCCCGCCTGTAGCTGGAATGGAGGTAGTTGCCATGAAGCGTGCTCAGTGTCAAGCCTCTGTGTATTCATCAAGTAAAGAAATTCTTCAGATTTTGAATTCTTAAGAAACTGAATATAATACCTGAAAATTTTTCAAGTTTCTGCAAGAGTCATTTGAATTTCTTCTGTCACTATGAAATACAAATATGTTGTAGGTAACATGTCTGAATTCTCAGTGTCAGCTTTTGAACCTGGGAATCTTGCATATCAAATGGCAAGGCATCAACCTGACTCAGATCTTTGGAGAATTCATGGTGGCTGTCTTCCCAGGAACTTGTAAAGGGAACTATTTTGGCAAGGGAGGAGAAAACTTTAAGTATGCTTTTAGCTGTCTCCCAAAATAATGCAAAATTTGAAAAAGTAAGAGATAAGACTTACTTAGATCAATAAGTTTTAAATATGGTCACCATGGTGACTGCTAAAGTACAAGTATTTATTTCTTCAAAAGAGTTTGAGCCTGTGTCGAGAAGAGTAGCAAAAACAGTCGCAGAGAGCCTTTACATACACACATTTATAATATGTCATATTAGCTGTTAATCTTCAGTGCACCAATCCCAGGGTTGTTCAGTATGGCGAATGGTAATGGGCTGCACAGCTGAAACCTCAGTGCACTTGGTAATCAGGCAGGGTTCACATTTCATGGTAGAAAGCTAGAATACATTTCCCCAGTATATTATATAATCTTGTGTTTTCATTTGCAAAGAGGAAAGCACAGGACCCTTTGTATTTTATGGATCACTGTTTCATTTCTTCACCCAAAATATTATCAAGTGAGCACTGGATCAAAATTAAAACCTGTGAGGCCCTAAGGAAAACATGTTCTTTCTAAACACAATACAAATGGCACTGTCACTTTTTAGGTTATGTGAGGGAACATTGTATTTTGTGGTACGTCTTCTGAAGGCTTCCTGCTCTCCTTTTGCATATTTAGTTTTATATCCCTTTGCAACCTCTAAGGTGAATTGAATCAGCCTCCTGAGGCTTTCCCTGCAGCATGTGGCTGATAAAATCAAGCAGTGTGTATATTAAAAAGTCCTTCCCTTCCCAGTAATTTTATGGTATATTTCCCTTTATTTTTGTATTTTCTACATGTGTTTGGCATGTTAGCAATGGTGAGATTAGTGATGATTATTTCTATAATGTTAAAAATTATTGCAATACATTTCTGGAAAACCTGAGTTGCATTGGAAAGTTGTTCAAAAAAAGAGTGGCAATCTGCACGCTTTCCTGCCTCCTTTCCACCTCCAATCTTCTGCCACACATTCTTCCCCAGGAATCCTTCCCTATTTCCTTTGGAACCAACGTCTACAAAAAGGAAGCCTATTCTTTTAAAGTAAAACACACAGGTATTCAGGTCATCTTCTTCGATTCTTGTTGTTTTTCCATATTCTTGGGTGGAATATAGATGCACCATGGCTCTGTATGTAACCCCTGCACTGCATCCAAGTTTA